GGGAAATGATGCTATGTGGGTTATAGTGGATCGGTTAACAAAGTCAGCTCATTTTCTACCTGTAAGAATAAATTTTAGTATGGATCAATACGCCCTATTATACATCAAAGAGGTCATCCGTTTGCATGGTATCCCAGCCTCAATAGTATTGGATAGAGATCCAAGATTTACCTCAAAATTTTGGAAGAGTTTGTAAGAGGCTATGGGAACCAAGTTAAACTTCAGCACAGCTTTCCATCCACAAACTGATGGACAATCGGAGAGGACTATACAGACTTTAGAGGATATGCTACGTGCATGCGTCCTTGATTTAGGGGGCAGTTGGGAAAACTATGTGCCACTGGTAGAGTTTGCCTATAATAATAGCTACCAAGCTATGATAAAGATGGCACCTTACGAAGCCCTTTATGGCAGAAGATGTAGAGCTCCCATGTATTGGGATGAAGTAGGTGAACGAAGAGTTCTAGGACCCGCAATAATTGAAGAAACTAGTCGAGCGGTTGATAAAATAAGAGCTAAAATCAAAGCAGCTCAGGACCGACAAAAGAGTTATGCCGATAAAAGGAGAAAAGATTTGACATTTAATGTTGGTGACAAAGTTTTCATAAACTAAGTTCAAGGTAATTTCGAGGACGAAATTTTTTTTAAGGGGGGAGAGATGTAATACTCCGAAATTTTATGCTTGTTTAAATTTCTTTGGAATAGCGATTTAACTTTCAATACTATTTTTGGCCATAAGGAAAAAGGGGACACCACCTTTGTAGTGGTTAATGTTAGAGGTAGTTAATGAATGTAGGCATGAAGTGTCAAAGGTTGTGTATGTATGAAGTGATTGTTAGTTAGTTGAAACTTAAGACAAGTTTGGACTTGAATGAAGTGGATTATTTTGTTAGGACTTCAATTGACCAAATGATTAAATTATGTTACAATCTACAATTTTTGAATATGTAAGTTGGGTACAAGTTTAAATTTGGGTACACTTTGTTAACAATGAAAGTTAGAGGGTTAGATTATATTAGTTGAAAAGATAAGAGGCTTCCTTTGTAAATCTAGGTTTTAAGGCCACTTATTACCCTATAATCAACCCACTTGTCCTCCATCATCACCATACACTTAGATAGTAGACCAAACATGTGTAAAGGTAAGAAAAAAAAAATATATCAAGCCTTATCCTTATCTTTATATAAATATAAATATATCCATATCCATTTCCATAGAGAGATTTCCTTCATTTTACAAAACACTTATACACTTAAAAAGAGAGCAAAAATCGAAATTAAGAAAAGAAAGGAGAAGGAAGTAAGTTTAGCATTTCCAATTCATTTCAATCGAAGATCTTCAAGTTTTACGGTAAGATGCCTTCCATGCTTAAGAGTTATGATTTTCATGGTAATATTTATGCTTAAACTATGCATGAAAAACCACAATATGATTATGGTGGACAAGTCCACAAAGTTAGATATCTATTTATGCCTTAGGACAAGTCCGAAGGGCACCGGCAATCCGGAATGTGCAAGTATGGGTTTGATTGCATTCTTTTGTGTAGCATTATCATGATAAAAATATAAGCATGGTATCTTACTGAGTATTTCTTATACTCATAGTATGTTATGCTAAATTTTCAGATCCATGATCGTTGAATTGATGGAAGTTAGTTGGCTTAAGCGATGATGGATTAAGGACAAGGATGTTTTGAACCGAAAGTTTTCTTTTGTATGTTTTGCTCGATGACTGTTTTCCAATCTATCTTTCTTATGGTATTATGTAAAAATATGTACATGACATGATGAAATATGGTATTAATAGTAAAATTTGTAATTATATCTTTCATGTTATGTTAAGAGACATTTTTGTAGTTTATTTTCCTTACAAGTGACAAAAGGCAGAAACGAGACAGATTCTGGAGTCAATTTCAAAATGATGTTTATAACTCTATAAACGTCCATTTGAGATTCTAAAAATATGTCTGTTTTCCTCTTTGAGTTTTCTAAATATGGCCGAATGAATCACTCAATTTGGATATCTATGACCGGACTTATCAAGGTTTTAACGTCAAGGGGTCAATCTGGATTTTCTGTGCAACACTTCACTGTTTTCAGTAAAACGTCTATATCATATGATCTTGGAAAATTTTCATATTTTAACCTAGAAAAATACTTGAAATTATCTTTCTAATGCCACAAATTTCACATAAAACGGAGTTGGGGTGAATTTTATAAAAATTGTCAAACTTGCTGCCCCAACTAACCTTGATAGTGCCGAGGCCGCATATGTAAAGTGTAATTTCATGTTGACATGCACTTTTACCGGCCCTCAAATTTTATGAGAATTGTTTTATCAAATTGAAAATAAGTTTCTAACATGTAATACTTTTATTTAAGAGTATTTACATGTACTAAAGAATGAAGTTATTATGTTAAGTACGTGACCCTCGAAGTTTAAGTTCGGGGCGTCACAGTGTAAGGACTTCAAATTCTCATAATGGTATTCAACTGTGTTGTTTCTAAGGAAAAAGGAACTCATACAGTATTTATAAGCAACTTGAATGGGGGAAGCAATTATGTTGATCATCTACCCAACCTCCAAGTCCAATCTCCTTGTCAATGTGAAAAGCAATTGATGTGATTGTTCAATAAATTAAGTGTACCTTTATCCCCCATTTTTCCATAATTAGTAAGACATTAAAGACTCTCAAATCATGTGTACTATTCAGCAATGGGGATTTTCTGCAACTTAAATATTGTCAATCAAATTTCTAGTTACTTTTACCATGCTGAAAAGGCTACAAGGTCTTACACCTATGGCTCATTATCTTAACGTACATGTTCGATGACGCATGAAAAAAATGAAATGGACATTAACTCTTTTTTAACTAGAAGCTTACGGCTGTCATGGTTTCGGCAGTTTTAATCTATATAATTGTCTGACACCAATCTGATATTACGAATGCACTTGCACGTTTCAAATTGATAAAATATATTACGATCGCTGTGGACATATCCGGCCTAGTGCGAGCCAAGTGGCTTCATTGCAAAACAAATAATAGTGTACATAAATTTCGAATATGCGTACACATCCAGTTTGAATAAATGTCACATCAAATGTTTGAACTGGGAAAAAATTTTACACAGCAAGGAAAAATATAAAATTCCACGCTTTGTCAGTGTGCGCTGCATCTCATGCACGTGCATAAAATATGACATTCGACTTGCCGACCTTCGTCTGAACGAGCTCCTATCTCTACAACCTATGTTCAAATAAATGCCTTCAATTAGAAATATGCCAAAAGTTATGGAAAATGACACATTATCATTTTCAAGTGCATAATGTGACGCACTTGGGCCCGAATATACCCACTAGTTACATGCAGTTGACTCGTAAATTGTATATGTGAACGACATGTGATCCCAAGCTTATACAAAAGTTCGAAAACCGCATATCTATTACCATAAATTAAGAACACGAAAAATCCTATCTTTCAACTGCATGTGATTCCAAGCATATGGTAAATTTAGAATGCAAACATCGTAATACATTACAAATAGGAAGAATCATATCTTTGAATTGTATGTGATCCTAAGCTTATACGAAATTTCGATTGCCTAAATCTGCCATAAATTACGAACACGAACAATCATATCTTTCAATTGCATGTGATCCAAAGCGTACGTTAAATTTAGATTGCATAAATCAGAAGACATTACAAATGGGACGAATCAAATCTTTGAATTGCATGTGATCCTAAGCTTATACGAAAGTTCGATTGCCTAAATGTGCCATAAATTATGAACAGAACAATGATAGCCTGCAATTGCATGTGATCCTAAGCGTATGGTAGATTTATATTGTAAATATCTAAATGTATTACAAACAAGATGAAACATATCTTTGAATTGCATGTGATTCTAACCTTGCACGAAAGTTTGATTGCAATAATGTGCCATACATAATGGCTATGGCACATTTCTTTTGAATTAATGGGTAAATGTGAAAGGTGTAATTGGACAAAAAACTAAACCACCTGGACCACCTAGCGGTCATTACATAGCCAACCAGCTATGTACTCTGTAATGTACGAAATGGGTTACCTTGACAAGCATTATTCCTCCAACGACATGGTCATTATTCCTCCAACGACATGGTAGACATTAAGTAGCACATTTGCAACAACTGTAGAACTTGTAAGTGTGGATGTCATGTCCTGGGGAAAATCAAATATAAATGTGCATCAAGTATTTATATGGCACTGAACAATAACAAACAAGCCATGAATATTTAAGCAAGCTCACCTGCGATGGGGATGGTCCAAGCACTACTGTATTCAATGCACCAGTGAACATATGCATGTTTAAATTTTGCAATTGTGACAATATATTCTAGGCACTGAACAAGCTGGAAATACCCTATTTCTGTCTTTATCATTAGCTACTGTTCATTCAATGTAGTATAAACCCTTTACTTGCATATTCGTAGCAGTACAGAAATGGATTTTTAGATGAATTGGTTTTTGTTAATCCTATAATTGTTATCATTTAATTAGGGGTGTGAAAAGTAAGAAACTTCCACGAGAGCGTGGAATTATTAAGTGTCCTTAGGACCCGTCATTGAAATTCTAGATTATTTTTTCCCTCATTGACATTAACACACTTTTACTTCATTGGTCCAAGAGAGATCTAGAATGTGCCATGAACTTCGTGGTACAGTTGGAAGAAAATTTAAAAATATGTTAACTATCGTCAACCAGAAAGACTGATAGATGATGGATAAGTGGGAAGCTGCAGACTGAAAACAAATACCAAATAACCTTGCATGTTCTATCGAGAAATAAAATGTTCCTTTAGCAGCCCACAAACACAATAGAAACATAGCAAACTTGACATCACCTACACATTTCAAATGATCTCAACAATATTGGGAATTCTTTTAGCTACAAGTTAGTGAACGTTAGTAGAATTGGTTTCTGTGCGAAGTGGAAGGCAAAAATTTTAACTGTGACATGGTACACATCACATTTTATATTCAAGGCAATGATAACACATATATTTGTAAGCCAACAATAGCATTGAGAAAAGCTTAATCATACCATAAACATGTGATTCTTAACCTGCTCGAACATTATGCATAGCACCACTGCATCCCCAGTTGGTGTAGTTTCGAAAAAACCAATATGATAGACATAAAAGACATTTAAGCAAAATGCTTGGTACAACTTCCGACATTGAAAGTATGAAAGACAATTTTGTTACAGTTAAATGTAATCCACAATTTTTATTATATCGAATAATCAGAAATTGTAAAGTATAATTACTTTTTCGCTCATCGATTCTTGTTTACCAGCTACGTAAACAGAATCGAAAACCCCTATATGTATTGAACAGTAATCGCAGAGTTGCAGTTCCATATGATGAGAAATATTGAACAAAATAAGTACAAAAATGTAACACACACAGATTTGAAAGGCCACAAATTTGAACAATCGATCACAGCACAAAGAAATTGTGAAGACAAAAAACGAGAAGGAAAATCATGAAACAGTAGTAGTCCATGAATGGGACAGATCATTTAAGTCATCGAGAAGTTATCATGATAGTAGTAGTAGCTAAAACTATCAACATAATCGAACAGTGACATGGCATTCAACACGGACAACCGAAAATGTGAGGAATGCGTCAAAGCATTTCCACGCTACCCAAGAGTATGTCAAATGTAAAGTTAAATAAAAAACATTACAAAAAAATTATCCATGAGGTTAACATCCCAACTCCACCTCCACCAATTCAGTCACAAAGCAAAAACGAGTACAAGACTATCGTCGTGCTCTCCGGGTAGTGTAGTCACAATTATTTCTTTGTTCTCTTTCCCTTTCTCCGTATTTGGAGTCCTGTAGCAACAGTTGGACGTCGCAACCGTATCGAGCAACGTCACATTATAGGAACTCCGGCTCGTGCATCGGGTACAGTGCTGGGAACAGGGACTTCAATAACAACGCCTACAGAAAATCCAAATGGGCCATGTTAGGTACCCGAAATGCTATCCACTCCAATGCATAACGAAACCACTATGAACGCAGGAAACTAACTTACCATCGCCATCCGTCGCATCGCAACCCTTCACCTCTTCATCGTCATCCCAAGCCGCATTCGAGGGCTCCATGGCTCCTGCATCTGATGAATACAACACATACGTAAGTGCATGGCGTTTGAGGTTTCCAATTGACATAGAATAAAATCGTAGAATACATAATGAAATTAATAAATTGGGTTAACTTCCTCCTACCGTTCACATCCAGGATGCCGAACTGCAGATCAATTTGTCTTCCATCTAATTAAAAAAAAAATTCATCAGACAGAAAGAAGTTATGTTTTCATCTAGTCGCAAAGAAGTTTCGTACCGTGTAAAGTCCATAAGGTAATAAATTTCGATTTGCTCGTGAACAACCCACATACCTTGCGGAGTTCTTATATCAACTGGCGTGTCCTGCTCGTCCGAGCATGGCTCTACGTGTCCTCTATATATGTCTATGTCAGAATTGTAACATGAATAATACTATGTGAGCTACAAGTACGATGAGTAATGACGATCGTAGGTTAAAATTTTAAAGCAAAAGCTGTACGCAAGTAACATTCATACCTTCTGGTAACGAACCTGAAACGTCGACCTCGGTATCGGTGATCGTCGCAATTGCAGCGGTGGTCGGACCAACTGGGGCCACGAGGATAGCTATGAACTCTCGAAGACTTCTATATTCTGAGGTCACGTGTTGTTAGATTTCAAGCTTTACAGTCTAGAGTCACATTTCAAATAGGATTCTTCGATCCAAAAGCAGCTTCTCTACGTCCCCTCTGGTCAGGCCTAGTGTAGATGTTCTAACTACTCTTGCCTGTATCATGCTCGATCGCTCTGGAAAAGGAACTCGAAACAGTCAAGGTGAGGAAAAAGCACCCCTGTCTCCTCCACGAGTGTCCTCACCAGCGCTGGATCGATCACTGTGGGACACACCAGTATCCTTAGTATCCTCACCGTCACGATCGCTGCCCGACCGCCCATCTTCGTCATCACCTCCGGACGTCTGCTTCACACCGCTTCCTTCTTTGGACCCCTCATCATCAGAATCCTCCCTTACCGACTGTCCACCGTGTCCACTACCGACGCCTGATGCATTAAACTACGACGCTACAATAGTCCCTACAATGTCATCCAGCACCAGCATTGAGGGATCATCGTAAGGTACAAGAGTGGAAAAATAGGGTTGTTGAGCCTCAGCATCGGTGAGACGCAGTGTTACGTACACGTGGAACTGCAAAAAAAGGTTATAGTACTCACATTAGAACACACAAGATTGTAACGAACTTACAATCCTATTTTATGTATACCTTGACATTCTTGAAGAATGCATCACACATACGATGCTGTGACTGTTTTCGTGCCGACCAGCGAAGAAGTTGTGGCAATCGTTCACCTACTCACTAAGAAAACATTCCCCAACCTTTGGAAGCACCTTATATGCCCATACCTATCGAAACAAGAAAAACACATTAAAATTTGGAAGATTCTAGGCACGACGTTACCGGAGGGAAAAATTAGGCATGTTACAATAATGTAACAAATTTTCATATCTACATGGTAATGGAGAAGTCGTGCACCGTGTAAGTAATTTCCTTCTCCTTCTTTCGCTTCACCTTTTGGAATTTTTTTGCCCAAATACCCCGAAATCCATGTAACAAACGCCTATATCCGACCCTACCCCAAGGGTAGGCAAAAAATAAGTCCATGTCATCGATTATTGATAATGTGGGCAAATGGATACCGACATTATTATCTAGAGCATTGAAAACTCTTTCGACAATTAGAACCAATCCTAACTTGTAGAGATCAGCTTGGGGCGTTGAAGGTCGGGCCAAAGCAGACTGGTGTTGAGCCAACAAAATCTTGTCATTGGATTTGAAGTACCCCTTTTTCAACCTCCTCCTCTCTAGCAATCGATCGAATTCACCACCCTCCAGGAATACACCGTATCTTAACCCCATCACAAGCGCGTACTCCTGTAGATCGAATCTCATGAAGTGCCCTTCCACGTTGAACCAAAGCTTGTAGACCTTATCAATGCAGATAGTTCTGAACACTAGCTGCTGGATGAGTTGGGCAGACATTTGAATGTCCAGAACCTCGACTAGATATCCTAAGGAGGAGTTGCAGAAGTACTCTCATTGTCGCTCTTTGAAATGGTCCATCACAGTCTTCATGTACTTGAGGTTGCTTTGTTGCGCAATGTGGGCCCGCATACTTGCATCTTTTGGAATATGAAACTCGAACTCCATCAGTTATGGAAGGTGAATTAATAAAAAGGGGGTTACAGGATGAGTGTAAACAATTGTAATGTATATAGCAATTTAGTGAAGCGAAATCATGTGTCATAATAGTGAATCATCGAGAAAAACTAAAGTAAACCGTCAGTACCGATAGATTATCTATCAAGGCCTGCAGGTACCGACGATTGGGAGGAATGAGGTTGAGAAAATTTGAGGTAAAATGTCGGATACGATAGTTCATTGGGAGTTGGTTTGCCTGCTAAACTGATATGTGCAAGTGAACTAAATTGGCATGTAAGGGCTACGAATGAAATTCCCATCAGTTCAAGATGAATGCAAATTACTGTGGAGTAAATAGAAGGAAAAAGAACTGAAAAATAGAAAACTAAGCGGGGAGGAAGAGAGAGAAGCTTACAGCAATGGTAGTGGGGGATGACAGAGGTCGAGCCTCGATGACTTGGTGGCAGTAGCGATAACTGGCATGGCTGGAGAAAGGCCGGCGTTTAATCACGCCGGGGGTGCACAGACTTGCTCACTTTTGCAATGTCAAGTTGTCATTCAGAATCCCTTGGTATTCTCACACCCAGTACACTTGCTAATTAGGATAATGTGCTATGGCTTTTTATCGAATGGATAAATATCCTCAACAATTAAACCAGATTGCCTGTAGATAAGAATAGAACACAAAATTTTTTAACAATCACGTTATTGAGCAAAACAAAAACTTATGTGTTAATTAATTTAAATTCACACCAATTTCACCATTATATGGGATTGGACTATTACAATATATAAGACCATATAAGAATCCTAGGGTAGTTACCATTGAATACATTTTTTACAAGTGTTTTTTGGTTATTAATGATCAAACAGAAATAAAAGTAACAATTAAAGAACGAGAGTGGTAAAAACGGATTTATGCACACAATCTTAAATTTATTGGACATAACTTATTTTGAGTTGTATTTACAGAGAATATTGGCAAGCTAACAGTCCCATAGTGCATTCATTTTTATTTAACTAGTATTATGAATCAACTTGTAACAGGCTTTAAAAATAGCAGATCTCGAAATAAGATGCAAGTACGTATTTTTCAAATTTCGAAATCTTTATAAATCTATGGCTAGTTCCTAATTCCGTACAGATGTTAACAAAAATAAAGATGGGCATATAAAAATTGCTTGTATGCAAAGCTCTTTATTGTTACTTATCTGACAAAACCTTGAAATAGACATTCAGACAAATATCTAGTCTCCTAGGCTCATAAGCCCTAATCAATGGATATCAATTCGTTTTCAGAAATCGAGTCTTTTGTTAACCTTAATCTTTAGTTATAGAATTTGATTTTATTGAATTTACATTGAATAGAGAAGAATTTGATTTTACTTCTAGCCTATGACCCGTTCAAAACTTCAACATCTTGTCAAACTAGAAAAATAATTTCATGAAAGAGTGCTACGGACTAAAATATAATACTAGTATATGTGCAAAAGAGTATACCACATCAGCTTCGTATCCGGACTATGTAAAATGAATTTCTTACCAATGATTTGCACTTCTACACTAGGAAGCAAATCAACTCTAGCTACTCAAATCCAATCGGAAGAAGTCACTCAAGCATGTGCTCCAATTAATACCGTCAAAACCTAAGCATAAATCCTATCCTTATAAGGAGAATAGGTATAGTTTGCTTCACATAACAAACAACAAAAGTTAGTCACTCCTGAACGGGTTTTCCGCATATGAAGCATGAAATCTGAACTAATGACATCTGTCACTAATCAACAGTTTCACACTTATTGTGGATACATGTTTATGGCGACAGTCCCAAAAATCGAATGGTCTTTTTTTCTATTACGAGCTCCCTCAAGCAACAAAAGGCGCAGAACGAGAGGTGTGGCCAACAAAGGGAACATGTCCGAAGTAGTTAGTGCAAAAATATAAGCCCATAGGAAATATTAGTGTCTTCTTACCATGGCCAAACTAAGGTAAATCATTATTGTTAAAAATTCATTAGTGTACTTTGTAACGACTTTCAGCATTCTATCAATTGAACCCGATTAATATATTTATGTCTTTATCCCAATCAATCAGACAAATATGCATATAAATTCATAATTTGCAACATGCATTCATAGAGAAAAAAGTTTAACACTACTAAAACACCTTACATCTCAAAGTTGTCTAACTTGTATGCAAAGACCCATAGCCTCGTGCTCAGAACTTGCCTGTTTAAGTAAACCATTGACAAAGAACGCCAATAATTCTCAAATTGATAATATTAATTTTAAGAAACAACTCAAAAATATGAAATTGTAAAAAATAAGGAGACAAAGATTTATGCAAATGAAAAACAAAAAATAGAGATTTACAAAGCGTTCATAAAAAGTTTTTAAACAAACCAGGATACAAAAACGGAACTTACAAAATTATCTTCGATTTGTGTAAACGTCGTTGCCTTTATATAGATACAGAGTTTTTGTCCTTTGATTAATTTCCTGTGAGACCAAGTTTTAAGTGCCAATTTTCAATTCATCTTATATCAGATTTCTCTTTTTCAAATTTCATTCATTCTCCTCTTCTTTTGTACATGTATATAGATCACGTAAGCATTCTGTAATTCTCCTCTTCTTTGTTTTTGTGAATCAGAAATACTTTAGAAGTAGTGCTCAAATTTGACATTTGTATTTTACAGTATATGTTTCAGTTTGTTTCATCTATGGCGATATTGTTTTCTTTGTTTTACTAAGAAAAAAATTAATAAATAAAAATAAAAATTCAATTCATAGAATCTGAACAATTTGATGTTTAACTTCTTCGGAGATATACCTAATATATATATATATAATTTTTGGACAATTTCATCATGTATTTTTTTGTATATTTGAACCATTCCTTTTTTCTTTTACTTCTTATGTGTATGGGGTTTTATTGTGTTACTTACCTCGTGGAATCGAAGACTGCAATGATGAAATTTCTACCAAGTAAGGTATTTCAAATCCCCTAATTTGCCCAGATAATGCCTCATGCTCTTTTCTGTAAATTTATGATTACTTTCTTTCATTTTTCTCTTTTCTTTTTAGTGACTATGTTATACCTAAAGTATTTCGATTTTATATGCATTGAGTACTGGTATCAGTAGCTTGAGGGTATTCTAAATTTCCCATATCGAACTCCGTTAGGAAATTTTAAGCATTTTAGCTTTAAAATGATTAAGTTCGTTGCATAGATAATAGAGTTCAGTGAAAGATAAGTAATAAGGTTTAAGCTGAATTACACCATGTCTTTTATATCAAATTGTTTGTTCAGTCTTTCACACATACTATTATCACTACCATTGTTGTTTTTACTTGTAAAGAAACAAGTTGGTTTAAGTATTCACATGAATGTTGAGCTTCCATTCAGGTTTGAATAGTTCATCTCTCCCTAATGGCAAGGTTACATTGGAAATCCTAAACAACAGTTTTCAAGTTAAGTAAAAAGTTGTTCGTCATAAAATCTTCCAAAAATAATACAGTTACTGGAATTCAGGGGCATGCTAATGATTTGGAACATAAATAAGCAGAGCTTTCTCTCTTTAACCATTATGAGACACAAATATTCAAATAAAATGTAATCATTATAAATGACATTTTTATATGGATATTAGAAGCATTCTCTTTTCTTTTCTAGTGCGTTGAATTACAAAAATTCTTATCTAGGAAATCAAAGAGCACGTGACATGTTTACATAAATGAACATATTTAGGCATTGATAATAGACCATAATACTATATGAAGCAGAAGTGCGAGCCCACGCAGGATTGAAAACAAGAGTGAGAATAGTTCTTGTAGATATATTTCAGTAAAACAAGAAAAGGGAGAGAGAAGTAAATATAATAGGTATAGTAATAGTAATAAAAGATCATCAAAACCCCATACCATAATTTTCGGTTCCTTTACCCACCTTTTGTCTCTATCATTGTCATCCTTTTTCTTTTCTATTTTCTTTTATCTCCTCCACCATGTTCTTCCTCTGCAACCACCAAACAACCCCACTACCTCATTTTCTCTCCCCCATCAATAAAACACATAAATAAATCAAACAAATAATTTAGTACCCTATGATGATGGGAAGAGACTACCCAAACCACAGCAATCTTGGTATCACCCAAGCCAACGAACTCTTCTGTAGTATGATTATTTAATGATAAAGCATAAAATTAATTTTACAAAACATCAGTTATAACAACTCGAAATCATGAAATTGTAAAAAATAAGGAGACAACAATTTGTGCAAATTAAGAATAAAAATAGAGATTTACAAATGGTTCATAAAAAGTATTTAAACAAACCAAGATACAAGAGTGAAACTTACAAAATTATCTTCGCTTCATGCAAACTTTCAATTCATGCTCCGACATTTTCTCAGAAAATCTCCAAATAACGGACGTTCAAAGGACTCGTTACAGAAGAAGAACAAAAGGGCTTATTCTCCAAAAAAATTTCTAGGCCCCTCTACGGGATTGGAAAAATAAGCTTTCACGGTAAGGCGGTGGGCGATTCCACCAACACTTCCAATTTCGTCCACAGCTGGGTGGTGGTTGATTTCAGTGAGAAAGAGGAGTGAGTTTAGGGATTTTGTGTGTGTCGGTTTCTCTTCCTCATCGACGGTCAGTGGTTGATTTCAGTTAGAGAGAAGAGTGAGTTTAGGGATTTTGTGTGTCGGTTTCTCTTCCTCCTCAATGGCCGATGGTTGATTTCAGAGTGGGAGAGAGAGGAATGAGTTTAGTGATTTTGTGTGTCGATTTTCCTTCCTTCGTTTTGTTTTCATTTGACGGCTTTTTTATAGAAAATTTAAAAGGTGATAGTTTTTATAATGCACACCCAAATTTTGACACCCAATAAAATTTCCTCTTTTTCAAATGTAGATGTGTGGAAATCGGTTCCTACCAAATAAGGATGGGAGCCAAAATTGATTGAAGAATATTTTACATTCCAAAATTATTGTAGAATAGAATATGTATTTATTTCCTACTGTTTTTAGGAGATTAATTTTTTTCCTTACTTACAAAGTTCTGTATATTAAAAATTGTATTCCTTTCATTGTATCAATTAATTGGAAATCAATATAATTCGTTTCCTACATGGTATAAGAGCAGTTTTGTTTCTAACCTAACCAATACATGGCTAAATCAGCCACGATAGACAAGGACTGTATAATCTCTTATTCAGAGGTAAAAGCCACCTCTGCCATGAATACATGAGGAATTGAAAATTCAGTTCTCCAACTATCGATAGAGAAACTGAATGGAAGAAACTGCAGAGAATGGGCGTAGTCGATAAAACTAATAATCAACAGAAAAGGGAAACTTGGATATGTAACAGACCTCAACCAACGCTGCTTTCCTTTAAAAGTGGAAGTCGGAGAATTCGATGGTGAGTACCTGGCTTGTCAACTCTATGAAGCCTGTTATCGAGAAAACATACATATTTCTTCCATTTGCAAATGACATCTAGGAGGCGGTCATAGAAATGTATTCTAACTCAGAGAACTTCTCGAAATTTTTTGAAATCAAGTTGAAGTTATGGCAAACAAAGCAAGGGGACCGTGAAGTGGCGGATTACTACCTGGAGATGATCGGACTAGGGCAAGAACTGGACCTGAGTTCGACAGAGGAATGGAAGTGTTCAGAGGACAGCGTACGTTACATGAAGAAATTAGAAATCAAAAGGGTGTTTGAATTCCTTGTAGGTCTCCATCGCGACCTTGACGAGGTTCGTGGCAGGATCTTTGGAAGGCGTCCTCTTCCCTCGTCCCGAGAAGTATTTGCAGAAGTGAGACGGGAAGAAGATCAGAGGAAAATCATGTTGGGCGACTCTGGTGTGTATCGGTCATCAGCGAAAGAAGCGTCTGGACTGATCTCCAATAAATACGGGTTATCTAATTATAGGCTGAGGTCTGAACAATCTGGAGTTCCTAATAATGGGCCAGTAAATGAAAGTAATGGGCTAGCTAGGTTTAATAATGAAGTGGGCTTAAATAATGGCACAAATAATTTGGGTGATGGGCTTTGGATGACGAGCCTATATTCTAAAGGAGCTACAGTCGGGCCGGGTTCAAAATAACAATGAGGTAGATTATGGTGTGAGCATTGTCGAAAACCAGGAGAAAGAAAATACATGTTGGGATCTACATGGAAAACCAAGTAATTGGAAGTTAAGACAAAATAAATAAAATTGAGGTTATCAAGCATCTGTCGATTACCAAATGGGAAAATCCAAGTCTGGTGGTGCATTCAATCCGAAACAGATGGAGCAACATTACAAAATAGCCTCCAGTCGTCAAGTCAAACATCCATAAAAATTCTCACTAGCTCGCTAGCGAATAAAGGTGATTTTTTAAGAGCTTTACAATCCATTTCTCAATCTAAAACCCCCCGGGTCATTGACTCAGGAGCATCTGATCACATGACAAACTCTTACCATATGGTCTCTACATATTCCACCTGTGCCTGGAATCTGAAATTAAAATTACAGATAGATCACTATTATCGGTTGCAGGAAAATGGAGTGTCAAAATTTCTAATTCCATAACTTTAGAATTTGTCCTTCATTTCCAAAATTGTCGTGTAATTTATCTCTATAAGCCAATTGACAAAAAAATCAAATTGCTCTGCTAAATTTTTTCCATCCTACTGTGTTTTTCAGGAATTATCATCGGAGAAGACGATTGACAGTGCTAAGGAACGTGAAGGACTCTACTATTCTGACGAGACTGATGTGAGTAAACAGCGTCATAATACAATCTGTGATTTTGCATATGTTCCTAAAAATTGCGATATTTTGCTATGGCATATTAGAATGGGTCATCCAAACTTTCAGTACCTAAAACATGTAGTTCCATCAATTTTTATGAATAAAAAATTCGTTGATATTCAATGTGAAATGTGAGTTTGCAAAACATCAACGTACATCATTCCCGATGTCCACATACAAACCATCTAAACCATTCTCTATGATACATAGCGACTTATGGGATCCTTCACGAATTGCCAATTGAACTCATGCAAAATGGTTTGTGATGTATATTGACGATCACACTTGAGTTTACTGGGTATACCTACTAAAAGATAAAACCCAAATTCAATTTTTACATGGGGGATTTTCTTCAAACCGGTGGAATAATTCATCAAAGTTCTTGCGTCGATTCTCCCCAACAAAATGGGATTGCTGAACGTACGAATAGGCACCTTCTAGAAGTGGCGCGTGCTTTGTTATCCACGACGAATATGCCTAAAATGTTCTGGGGAAAAGCAATCCTAACATCCAATTACCTGATCAACAAAATGTCTTAAACTTCGAATCTCCACTCCAAAAACTTCAAAAATTCTTTCCTACCTCCCGCCTCAACTCCAACCTATCGTTACAAGTGTTTGGTTGTATTGCCTTTGTTTAGATTCATTCTCATTGCAGAGCTAAACTTGATCCCCAAGCTGTTAAATGTATTTTGATCGGATACTCTCCTACTCAAAAAGGTTACAAATGCTTCGAGCCCTCAACAAAAAGAAAATTCGTAAGTCTTGATGTCACTTTCTTCGAAAATACACCATATTTCCAAAAAAACCTCTCTTCAGGGAGAGACACTACATGAAGATCGATTCCTAGATTTGAATCTCAATTCCTTTGAGTCTACACCCACCAATAACTCCATGTTACCATCCAGTTTGTCATTAACAAAGAAAAACTTACAACCATGAGGAGATATAGAAAAACAAAGTAATGAAGAGATACTAGTTTACTCACGAAAGCTAAAATCAAAGTACAAGGACCATCATATCCGAGGTATCAAAAGAGTCAGAACAAATGATGCCTCTTCATGAAGCCTCAGAAATTCCTAACTTACCCATTGCTCTCAGAAAACCAACTAGTTCATGTACTCTCCATCCTATTTCAAAATTTATGTCTTATAATGCTCTATAGATTCCGTACTTTTATATCTCTCTTTAACAGCACAAAGATCCCAAAGAACATCGAAGAAGCTTTGAAAATTCCTAAATGGAGGGAAGCTATACTGGAGGAAATGAGAGCATTAGAAAAAAAAAAGAGATTTGGGAGATTTTGGACCTACCGAAAGGAAAGAAACCAGTGGGATGCAAATGGATTTTCAATTTGAAATACAGAGCTGATGGGATAATAGAACGATACAACGCTCGGTTAGTTGCAAAATGATACACACAAACATATGGCATCGACTACACTAAAACGTTTACACCAATTGCAAAATTGAATACAATTTGGGTTTTTCTACCTTTAGCGGCCAATTTAGACTGGCCACTACAACAACTCGACATTAAAAATGCCTTCTTGAATGGAAAACTAGAAAATGAAGTTTTTATGACTTTACCACCAGGTTCAGCAAGGTAACTGATGGAAATAGAGTATGCAAACTCAAAAAATCTCTATATGGGCTCAAACAGTTACCGAGGGCATGGTTTGATAGATTCGCAAAGGTGTTGAAAAGTCAAGGATGTAAACAAGGACAATCAGATCATACTAATTTAATGATGGGACTACAATCCTAATTGTATATGTTGATGATATCATTTTGATAGGAAACAATGCAGCAGAGACTGAAAGATTAAAAAAGTGTTTTGCCACAGAATTCAAGGTGAAGGATCTAGGACAAACGCGATACTTCTTGGGAATAGAGTTGGCCAGATCAAAAAATGAAATATGTGTTTCACAAAGAAAATATGTTATTGAACTTTTAACCGAAATCGGCATGCTAGGTTGCAAGCCAAATGACATGCCTGTCGAAATCGAAAAGAAACCTGAAGAGGTTGGAAATGATGTGGAAAGAGATGGATACCAAAGATTAGTTGGGAAGTTAATACTTGTCACATACTAGACCGCAGTGGGCCGTGCAAGTCAACATATGTATTCTCCAAAGGAAAGTCACCTAGAAGCGATCTACAAGATATTAAGATATCTCAAGGGTTTCCCAGGAAAAGGACTATTTTTCAAGAAGAGTGAGAGGAAAGAGATTGAAGTGTTCACTGATGCAGATTGGATAATTTCAATCGAAGATAGAAGACCAACTACTGGTTACTGTACCTATGTATGGGAAAAATAAGAAACAAAGTGTTGTTGCTAGAAGCAGCGCTGAGGCCGAGTTCAAAGCCATAGCACAAGGAATATGTGAAGGGTTGTGGCTGAGAAAACTTTTGGAAGAATTGCATGTCAAAATATAGTCTCTATCAAAATTTTTATTGTAATAACGAGGCAGCGATCAATATCTCACTTAATCCAGTCCAACATGATCGTACCAAGCATATAGAAGCACTTCATAATAGAAAAGGTTGAGGAAGGAACCATTTGCATGACTTATGTTCCTACTCAAGAGCAAGTTGTAGATATATTTACCAAGGGACTACCTCAACCAAGCAAGAATGATTTCATATGCAAGTTGGATATGATTAACATCTACGATCCAACTTGAGGAGGAGTGTGAAAATCGGATCCTACCAAATAAGGATGGAAGCCAAAATTGATTGAAGAATATTTTACATTCCATAATTATTGTAGTATAGAATATGTACTTATTTCCTACTGTTTTTAGGAGATTAGTTTTTTCCTTATTTACAAAGGCCTGTATATTATAAATTGTATCAATTAATCAAAAATCAATATAATTCGTTTCCTACAGGATGATTGGTCACTTGACTACGTTCCAGTTTTGGGATCTAAAGAAATTTGCAATGGTGGTCAACAGTTGAGAATCATTTCAGTTTCTGTAATTTTTATGGACAAACCTTTTTCCTCTAATCGGTGTTCAATTTTCAATTATTTCTCTTCCTCAATATTTCTGCCTCTTGATATCTGCCAGACGCTTAACCAGTTTAAATAAATTGAGCTTCAGCAGGCCAATCTTGGCTCATATCTTTGGTCTTGGGCTTGAACCTCCTACATCATTTCAAGTCCTTGTCCTGCATATTGCTTTGGCTGTTTGTTCAAGCTACTTAATCCTTTCTTCCGTGCTTCTTTTGAAATCTGCAAATTTGAGATATATGATATGTTCTATTTTTGTTTCCTTTCTGTTGATATATGCAACAATTTATGCTTTTGGGAAATCTTATCAGGGGCATACAGATTGTCACATGTTATTGCTTCACGTTAGTACTCACTCACTGATAGGGGGTGATCATTGTGTAGGGTAAGATACCATAGAAGAATATAAATTCAAGATCCAAACTGTACAACAAATATAATAGAGAACTTTACATAAAAATCTAAAACCACTGCATCTAGTTTTGATCTTTCATAGTCTCAGACCATAAACCTCTAAGGAGCATCACAGAGGCACCAAATTCAACCATAGACCCTCACAATCCCAACTTCATAGTCGCTACAATGGAACATGAAAATTGATAGACCACTTCTCAACAGTTTACTCACACAGAGAGTTCTCAGATCAAGGACTCGATTATCACAAAGATAAACACTAGATAATCTCACAAAGAGAAGATGAAAAATCACAGTGACAGAAAGCCCTTGAAGGTTCCAGAAAGAGAAGAAAAATGATGATTCAATCTCTAGGTCAAAGAAAATGGTCTTATTTATAGTTAAAACCATCAGCCATTGATCAGTATTTTAATCCAACGACTCCAGAGCGACTAAGAGTGGACTGAATTATTGGGCTTGGTTAAGTGGGCCATCTCACTCCATATTGGGCATTCTTTATCATCACAGCCTATGTTGGATAGGACATTGGCATCACAGCCCAACAAATTTCCACCTTGATACCAATGGTCATACAAGAAGCCTAATAAATGTAATTTATATCTTTATTCCCAAGAATGCAGCTTCCCAATATTTCCAACAGGCATCAGGTTTAGCACCTATACAGATTTAAAAAAATTAACCAGCATTAATGTTCAAAATTTGTAAACAGGACTTAAACTTGTTAAGAGGTATTACCTTAGTCTCTAAATCAGCTGGATTAAACTGAGTTGCAATTTTTTCAAGTAACACTCTTTCTTTAGAAATAACATCTCTAATAAAATGCAACTTAACGTCAATATGTTTGGTTCTTTCATGAAAAATAGGGTTCTTACATAGGTGAATTGCACTTCGATTGTCTGAATATAGAACAATAGGGTTCCTTAATTCATTTATTTCAGATAACAAGCCCTTAAGCCATAAGGCTTCTTTTATTGCTTCAGTTGCAGCAACATACTCAACTTCAGTAGTAGATAAAGCAACAATAGGTTGAAGTTGTGATTTTCAATTAATACATGTATTACACAAAGTAAACATATAAGCAGCAGTAGATTTTTTATTGTCTCTATCTCTGACAAAATCTGAATCTATGAAACCCTTAAGTACAACACCTTCATTATAGGCACTAAAAGTCAAACCAAGATGTGAAGATCCTTTCAAATATCTCAATAGCCATTTTAGAGCAACCCAATGTTCTAGTCCTGAATTGGCCATAAATCTACTAAGTGTGCTAATAGAATGAGCTACATCAGGCCTAGTACAAACCATGGTGTACATGACACATCCTACTGCATTAGCATAGGGTATTTTTTCTATTTGTCTAATGTCAGATTCTTCTACAGGAAATTTCTCTTTACTAAGTTCAAAATGGCTGGCCAAGGGAAGTGAAACTGATTTAGAGTTATGCATGGCAAACTTAGTCAACGTTTTTTCCACATATAAAGTTTGCCTCTAGTTCAGTAACCTATGGTGCCTTTTCCTAGTGATTTCGATCTCTAAAATTCTCTTTGCATGTCCTAGGTCTTTCATTTCAAATTCAGTACTTAAAGATCTTTTTATTTGATTAACAACATGCATATTCTGACCAATCAGCAACATATCATCCACATAAAGAAGTACAAAGGCAACAATAACATTTTCATCATTTCTTTCAAAATAAAGACAATGATAAAATTCACTTTTTATAAGATTAATAGTAGATACAAAATTATCAAACCTTTTGTATCATTATCGTGGAGATTGCTTTAAGTCATATAATGATCTTTTTAACAAACATACATGATCAGATTTAGATTCATTAATAAAACCAAGTGGTTGTCTCATATAAATCACTTCATCAAGGTCACCATGCAAGAAGGCAGTTTTCACGTCCATTTGTTCAAGTTCAAAATCATAATGAGCAACAAGAACAAGCATAACTCTAATTGTAATATATTTAATCACAGGAGAAAAAATCTCATTGTAGTATATGCCCTCTTTTTGTGTCCTTCGCTACAAGTCTAGCCTTAAATCTTATGGGCATCTTTTTAGTGTTTCCCTCCTTAATACTAAAGATCCATTTGCAATCAACAAGGGTCTTACCAGAAGGTTTAGGAACTAAAGTCCAGGTCTTATTTTTCATTAAGGAGTACATTTCATCTATCATAGCAGCATGCCAATTTTCATATTGCTTGTTGCTCATAACCTCTTCATAAGATTTTGGTTCTTTAAACACTAAGTCTTGATAGGACAAAACAGCAAGTGAAAGGTAATCCTCATACCTAACATGCTCTCTTACTTCTCTCCTAGTCCTATCTCTAGCTAATTGGTAATTCCCCAATTTATCAGGTTGATTTTCCAGATTTTCTTGAACACTTTCCTCTTCATTACCTTGAGGACCAGAAGCTGTTTCAGCTTCTTTCTCTACCTGTTCATGATCAATAGGTTCAGTAGGTAAGCTAAGCTCCACCTACAGTTTGATACTATCACACTTTTCATCACCAGATAACCCTCTTGGCTCCTTATTTTCTAAACAATGCATTTTTTATTCATCAAAAGTAACATCTCTGCTGGAAATGATTTTGAAACCTTTAGACTCTTTACTCCATAGTCTATAACCTTTAACCCTATCAGGATATCCCAAGAAAACACATTTTTAGGCCCTAGGTTCTAGTTTTCCTATACTCTAATGGGAATAGGCAGCAGAACCAAAAAATCTTAAGTGGGAATAATCAGGCACATGTCCTGTCCATAACTCTTCAGGGGTCTTATCACCTAGAGCACTTGAGGGGGTCCTATTAACAATATATGAAGCTGTTATTATCGCTTCACCCCATAAAACCTTAGGAACACGTGAACCTATCAACATGCACCTAACCTTATCTAGTAAGGTTCTATTCATCCTCTCAGCCACTCCATTCTGCTGAGGTGTATAGGGGGTTTTATGCCTTTTAATACCAGCCTCTTTGCACAACTGATCAAATTTAGCATTGCAAAACTCTAGACCATTACCAGTCCTAAGTGATATGATCCAGGAGTCGAGCCCGACGAAGGCAAGTGCGAGACGAGACCCGTTGATAGTTGATGGCAGACCAATGACGCGATCAAGGGCAAAGCAAGTGAAACAAGCAATGGGATTTCTTGTTCAAGAAACCATGGATGGAACCATGTTCGGGACTCAAAATGGAGCAACTTTCATGTTCGGGTCAAAGGCCAAATCGACTTGGATCAATTTGTTATCAAGTAACGAAAGCGGAGGCAGAAATCAAGACCATGCGGCCGCACACATGGCTCTCGAAAACCTAAACTCCAACTCAAGTTAAACCATGCGATCGCATGGGCCAAAAAAATTGGCAATTTTTCTATTTTTGGCCGAATTTTCTAGTTTCGATAGAATTCTTATGGAATCAAATTATTACCATAATTTGATGGTTTTGGGCATTTTTATTCATTAGTATAAATAGGAGATTACTTTTGATTTTAAAAAAACCTTTGAACTTTTGACTTTTGAATTAATATTATAGAGAGAGAAATTTCTTCTTTCAATTTATTGTTCTTCTTGAACAATCTTGGAACTTATCAAGATTCAACTTCTTGTGGCGTTCTATCAATCGGATTGTGGGTTCTTTCAATTGTAATCAAGGGGTTTTA